TAGGATGATATTCATATCGTTGTGGTACACGCAGATCCTGTGGATCAACCCCAACGGCAACAGTAGGTGTGAGATCGTGATATTGAGAAAACAATTGCTAAGTGTGATCAAAGCTGTTATATTGTTGGAAAGATGAAAGAAATGTTACTGGCAAAAAAATGATGACAATAGGTGTCTCCTCCGCAAAAAAACAGTAATGATTAACGCGATTAATTCTTATTTCACCATATGGAACGGGTACATCATCAACCGTACATCATCTGCGTGTACCACAACGATATGAATATCATCCTACGTTGAATACATTTCAACGTAGGATGATATTCATTATACATATATATATATATATATATATATATATATATATATATATATAGGGTTGAGACTATTGTATAGACAATTGTTGAGAAGAGTTTCTGGTTCAATTTTTCAATATTTCGTTTCGTATTTTTATCATCATTTTTTGACTTATTTATAAGGAAACAAAGTTTTTTAACTACTTTTTTATTCATTTTTATCTAATACAGAACAAATTTTTTTTTTCGGTAATCCTTCAGGGGTCATTCTTCATATCAACTATAAACAAGTGATGCAGAACCAAAACAAATTTGGATCACTTTTTACTGAACCGACAGTTAAACATGAGAAATGATGAGAATCTTTACAAATATCGCAGCATATTCATTTTTTTCGCTGGTTTTGCATTTGAAACATGTATTCTTCGACATATAAAAATGTAATCAGCAATAATAATTAAATTGACTGTACGTTAACGGAGCACCTGATCATGATAGGCCGAGTAGCTTACGATCACTTGTTTTAATCAAAAAGTCAGTGAAGTTAAGACTGAATTATAACCAAAATTAATTCTTTAAATTATATTCTACAGAAATGACCAATTTTGACCTAGTTCTAGTTTGACCGTCATGAATCCGACAATAGCTCGCCAAAAAACAAAAATTCTTACCGAACGAAAATTCGTTTAAACAATTTCTATGGAAATGATCATTGTATATATATATATATATATATATATATGTATATATATATATATATAATATATATATATATATATATATATATATATATATATATATATATTTATTTATTTATCTGCAGGCCTAGCTACCAAATTAACCCCTTCATCTCAGCATGTTGTCATATATCTATATATATATATGTATATATAAATATATGTACGAATATAAAGTATATTGTATGTATATATATATATATATATATATATATATATTATTGATTTCATCATTTATAATTCATATCATCATCGTCGTCGTGCTCTTCGTCATCATCATTATCGTTATTGGAGTTATGGTTACATTGATTCGGAAAACTTCGAAAGATTTTTACGATATATTGTTAAAAAATAAGATAGATCAATGTTACCTTTTTTTGTTAAATAAGTTTTAAAAATTACAAAAAATAAATTAAATAATAGAGATGTAATAAAATACGATACGATAAAACACGAAGCCGAACGAAACGAAACGAAACTATACAAAACACAACACATTTCAATACCCAGTTCCAATCAACACGCGTTTCAAGATAACAAGAGGAAAGAAAAGCTTGTAGAATAATGAAGCGTAAATTGAAGAAATTAATATTGCTATCCATTAGCGTCGTCGTCATAGTCTGCTGCCTGTGCAAGTGGAGCGTAGAATATCAACCCCGACATGTTGCCAGTAACTCTCTAGATGAAAACAAAAAAAATAATAAAGCAACAAAGAACAGCACCAAGAATTCCAACACGTCAGAATCTTTAACGACAGGGGATGTCCGCCCCTCAAAACCAGACACCCCCCTTCTCATTATCTTCACCACATTCAAGGACGATTCGCACAGCACCCACCATAAACTCGCTCACAGAATCATCACCAAAAACTGGATCTCATTTGGTCTGGAGTACATAAAACCTGTCCTATTCACAAATTCCTCTCTGGCTCCGAAATTTTATAACCGGGATACGGTTCCAAAACCGGAAACACTTCCATTTGAAGCATCTCTAGCGGAAATTGCTCTGTCACACGGGTGGGATCTACTTCCTATTCCGGCAGCAAATAGTCATGGAACTCCTTATTTGAAACCTATGGTTAAGGAGATTTTTAAAAACTATAACGCCACGTTTTACGGATTCGCTAATGGTTGGTTTTGTGTTGTTGTAATCAATTTTTCTAAGATATAATTCGTAATTTTTTACTTGTATTTTAGTTTTTGATAAGTTAATTGATCAATCTAATTAATTAATTGATTATTTAATTAGTGTTAATTAATTAATTAATTAATTAATTAATTAATTAATTAATTAGTGTTTTCAAATATCAATTCGGTAAAATATATTCATTCAACCTGATATTTTGAAACTTTATTTTCAATAATTTTGAAAGTAAAGTCGACATTTTTTTAAACGCTCAATTTTTGACATCAACGTCATAAGCAATAATCACCACCACCATTACTACTACTACCACCACCACCATCACCCTTCCATCATCATCACCTCCATTCTATCATCCTATCCTCATCGTCATCATCATCGTCATAATCATCATCTTCATCATCATCATCTCTATTCTATCTCTTATCGCCATCGTCATCATCTTCATCATCATCATCACCTTACACTCATAATCTTCATCAGGAGATTTGCTATTCGATGAAACTCTGACGAGATCTTTAAACTTCATAAAAAGCTACTTGAAACACCCACTCGAGAACAACGCCATGCTAATTGGTCGGCGCATAGACGTAATGCTATACAGCAACAACACCGTCATACCTGAAAAACAACACCTACGACAAACTTCTAGCACCACTACCACCACTACTACCACTGCCACACCGATAGTTACTGTGTCAGTCAAACCAAAAAACGGCAGTGGTGAAACTAAATGCGGTAGTAGTAGTAGTGGCGGTAGCGATAGCAGTAGTAACAGCAGTAGTAACGCCACGAAAACGACCACAACAACTTCCACAACGCCAAAACCAGTTGTCATTTTAACGCCAGAGTATTTCGACAATCTCCTCAAATATTACAACGCTTCTAATTTGGTAAACCTCGCCAAAATTGGAACCTTGAGGCCAGACACAGCCATTGATTACTTCTTTTTCACCAGAGATGGAAGTCGCTTCAACTGGAGCGCTTTAGCGGATGTAGTTATTGGACGAGATGGTTATGACAATTATTTGATAGCTATGGCAAATATTACCGGTGGGTCTTATATATATATGTGTATGTGCGTGTTTGTGTGTGTCTGTGGTTGTCTGTGTGTGTTTGTGTTTGTGTATGTGTTTGTGTGCCTATATGTGTGTGTGTGTACGTAATCATTATTAATATTTTGACTATCTCAATCATAATACTCATTATGATCAACTAAAATATCATCGTCGTCGTCATCATCATCGTCATCATCATCGTCGCCATCATCGTCATCGTTGTCTTCTTCATCATCAGGATGTTTGTCGATAGATCTGACGAGTACAGTTAGGTGCATTCACCTATCTAAGCCTGGTGTCAAAAATACTGGATACGATAACAGGGACAACCATCACAATTTAAATATTTTCGGTTATTTAATTTCTAAATTGATCAATTAATTAATTAATTATTTTATCACGTGTGGGAGTTGTTTTCAATCTAATCAATTAATTCAATTATCTACATTCACTCACGTTAAATTTGTTACGTTTTACAATGCCAATTATGTTAATGAGATTGAATATTTAACGAAAGTTAAAAGCTAAAAACTAAAAGCTGAATAAACATAATGCATCGAACCAAACATCTCATTAACATTATTCAAGTTAATTATAGTAAATTTATGTTAATTTATGCAAATTTATTCAGGCTACCAATACGTTGGCAGAGGCAAATCTAGCGTCACCAATTATTATACAGAGAAAAATGAAAGAGGATACCCTGGAAAATTGATAAGCAGATACGAAAAGAACAAAGCTTACTAGTTTACACACACACGCCACATACACGCCACACACACATAAACACACACTCTCTCTCTCACACACACACGCACACAAAATCATGTATTCAACAAACCAAAACTACGCTACACTGAACAGCATTAGTTTATATTAGGTTTTATTCTGGAAGGTCATATTTGGTCATAATATTAAAAAAAATTTGAGAATATTTTTCATTGTCTCATATGTTTTTTAATTGTTCAGTTGCTAGTTTTTGTCCAATTTTATCACATCAATAAATTTTGATGTAGATTTGAATAATAATATTATTCATTAGCTTGGAATGTTATTTTAGACATGTTTCGTATCACTTAGCATAATTAGTCAAAATCACCACAAATCTACATTTCACAATAAGACGTAGATACACACTTTTGCCGCCTGGTCTGTGATAGTTTTTTTTTTAGATTCGGACAGACGGTCAGTATTCGAATCAGGACACGGCGTAATGGCAACGCTCTATACGGCTCTTCTACCGTCTGAGCTAACCCATTAGTATAAATATTTTTGTTGAAAAAACAAATACAAACAAACACACACATACCAACACACAGAAATGTGCTGTATATCAGTTCACTTCTATAGCAACCAGAAAAGTTATAAAAAGTTAGTCTAGGCGATGGTGTCAATCAATTTTATTATAACTTTACATAACAACGGGTTTATCAAATGTTATTATAACTTTAAATATTAATATTATATTATTATTATTGTTGTTCTTGTTATTATTATTATTGTTGTTCTTGTTATTATTATTATTATTATTGTTGTTGTTGTTGTAATTATTGTCATTAGTTACTGTCATTAGATTGTCTGTGGTGTTCTTCACCAACCTATATTTTGTGAAATGGTTGCTTGACTTAAAAGCCGCGGCTTTAGATTGTATCTTTTCTAATTATTATTTCTGTTATTAATAATAATAATATTATTATTATTATCATCCTTATTATTTTATTATTTCTTGTGTTATTATTCATTGTATTATCTCTATCTGTCTGTGTGTTTGTGTCTGGTATATATATATATATATATATTTATATATATATATGGCATTATAAATATATATAATTTCTATAATAATATTAATTTATAATAAAATAATAAAATTATCAGTACAAAATTATTTGTCATCATTTCTTTAGGTTTCAGTTGTTATTAAATATGTATGTGGGTGATGATAATAATAATAATTATTCAGGTATGTAAGTGTTTTTTCGTGATTTTTTCCGTTATATTATTAATTATTTTAAAATAATAATAACAGTAATATAATTTATGATTGTTATTATTCATTTTTTTCGTTATATTATTAAATATTATTAATTAATGTTTAAAATAAAAAGCTAAATGATAACAATAATAAAATTTATAAATGCTATTATTTATTTTATCCGTTATATTATTAAATATTATTCATTAATAATAACAATAATACAATTTATAATTATTATTATTTATTCTTTATTCTGTTGTTTGATACAAAACTGTTAATTGTAAAGGTTTTTTATTCGCTAATATTGCTGCTTCACTTTATATTCGGTACTAATTCGTTACTGTTAGTTTTTGAATCGGAATTTAAGTTGAACATGGAAACACACACACACACACAGACACAGAGACACACACACACAGACAGACACACTCACAAAGACACACACACGCACCGACAGACACACAGACAGACACACACATACACACACACACTTTCCTAATAATACTATTTAAATCAGCAGTTCTTCGCTAGTGTATTGGAGCCACATTGGAGGCCTTCCAGTTAGGGCACGCCACATCGTGGGGGGGGGGGGGAAGGGGGTGATATTTATAAAATGGGCCACGATATATGCTAGTTGAAAACAGCTGATATATCGGATAACATGTATATAATGATATTTCATCATAACGTTCTTTGCCACGATTGCATTATGGATCATTATGTGCATGCGTGTGTATGTTTGTATGTAGGCAAGGCATTCATATGAAACCCAAGCTGAGTTTTGATTAATTATTAAATTTTATGGTTTAATTTTTATCTTTAATATTAAAAATTTGTAATAAAATCTACGATTCCCCATTCATAAGCACGCGCATGCTGAGATTTTATTATTAATAAATCACAAAGGTGTCAATTCATTCAATAGCCTGGTACAAAATGATTCAAATTTGTATTTTTACATGAAACCTGCACCTGCCTGCCTTTGTATTGTAAGGTGTTGACCAAATGTTAAAATACCGTCAGTATAAGTTAACCATTTATAGCACATAATATCGTGAATTTTTACCATTTAACGAACAATGTATCAATTTAATATGAATTTATTATAATTTATTTTTTAGAAATAATTAAAAAAAATTTTTTTTAAACATTTGTGCCCAGTGTATCTCAGCATGTTTGGGAGAGTTACCACAAAAATATTATCTTTAATAGGTTAGAATTTATTTGCCTTTATTTGCTAAAACCTAAATTATCTTACGAATAGCAGTTAATCTTTATTTATCTTGATATAATGATGGGATGGTTAAGATGCGGGGCAGATGGCACCAGTCTTGCAGTATGTGTGTGTGTGTGTGTGTGTGTGTGTGTGATACGTTGTTTCACGTGTGTTTGTTACATACACTGTGCTTTTGTTGCTGATACTTCTGAAATATACTTAAACGAAAAATTTTGAAAAAGTTATGTGTTTCTGCAATTAAGACAAATTAGAATTTTTTTAAACTTTGCATATCTCGTTACCAGAAATTCCTCAGTTAATTATCATTATTATATTGCTGAAAATTTAAACTTTGTAGAATTAATAACCAAACGAAACTTTACAAAATTAAAACTGAAAATAATCTCACTCTCGTTACTCTTCAGCTACAGTAATTCTCCATCACAGCATCATCATCACACTGACACCCTATTTATCTCAAACAACTGCTCTGGAGTTTTGCGATAAGAGATATTGTTACTACACTGACGAATGGAACTACACCATATCAGACCCAGAAGAGGGCCGGGTAAAATGTTCAGCTATGGGAATGTGGCTGCTAGAGATACGTGATGACATTCAGTGGAGTGATTTTGTGGGGTTGAGCGCTAACTTGAGCACCAAATTTGTCGGTTCTTCTAATTATTTCCTCTTAAATATTAACTTAACTGTTTTTAGTGAATGGGTTACTGTCGATGAGGAGGTCTTCACAGGTTAAACAGTTTTTTGTAATTTTTTGAAAATTTGAAAAGTATTTTGAAAAATTTTGAAAATTATTTCTCAATTGCTTTGGTTATTAGTTCAATAAAATAACAATTATTCATTGATACTTTTTAAATGCATCCAAAGCAATTTCTCAATTTAATGTTTAAATTATTTGTTAGAAAATTATTATCTCTTCAGTACATTTTTACAACTAAGACTAATTTTATTACTTACATTAATAAGTTAATTTAAAAAAAACTTTTTTCGTATTAAGGGGCAAGTTTGATAAACGAGGCCCTTAAACTAGGCCCTCGTGGATTCGTCACCCTCATAAGGTCTGGATCGGGCCTCAACTTTACTGAAGTGGCAAACAAAGGCCCTAAGTATAAAATTATCTGCCAAAGAAACGGTTACGTAACGTCGAAATAATAGTTTGTAGTGTAAAGTTTAATGCTGCCTGGTTTGAGTGGAAAGAGATTCCCGCCAAAATATGCAATCTGGGCTTGTTGTTATTATAATAATAATATGTTATAATACTATTAATATTACAATAATAATAATAATAATAATAATAATAATAAGAATAATAATAAGAATAAGAATAATATTATTAAAATGTTTTTGCCATCAGCAAACATTGGATGTACAGAATTTAACGACACCTGGTCGTACAACGATTACTGCTACTTCAAATTTGAAACGATCCAAACCCGTTGGCAGGAGGCCCTCAGGATATGCTTCACGGAGAAGGCCCTAATGGCGACATTCAACAATCTGACCTCGAATGACCTTAGCGCTATGACGTCAATAGCCAATTTCAGTGACGTCACCGGTTATTGGGTGGGGGTGAGTAAGTGTAAGATGGTCTGGTGTCATGAAAGTTAGTATTGCAGTGTGTTTATAAAATTTTAAATTGAATAATATTTTTTATAAAATTTGAGACATTTTTCATATTTTTTTCTTGATATTTTTCATTTGAACCTGTTGTCATATTAATTAATTCACTTTCAGACATCTGTCACTTATAACAAAATTAAACTAAACGCAATTTTAATTTTATTTATTATAATTCTAATTGATAATTCACACAAAATCAACTTTAAATTTTTAATAAAAATTAAAAATTAATAAAAACCGTTAAATTTTAAAATAATTTTTTCCGAATCCATAAAGATGATAGAGTAATCTAATTCACACAAAATCAACTTTAAATTTTTAATAAAAATTAAAAATTAATAAAAACCGTTAAATTTTAAAATAATTTTTTCCGAATCCATAAAGATGATAGAGTAATCTACAACCGTTTCACAAACAACTACCCCTACTATGTGTATTCGCCGTCAAATTTGTTTCTATACGTAACAAGTGACCAACCAATGGATGTCTGGTTTGGCGAATATTCTCTATCTAACACATACACCATTGTATGTATGCGAGATATTGGTTAGATTAGTATTTTGAATAGAAATTTTCGCCTAAGATCATCTTCATCATCGTCCCGTTAATACTCATCATCATCTACTTCATCATCTTCGTTATCTTCTCCATCCTTATAAAGTAAAAACGTCAAAAACTTGACATAGGTTTTTGAACCCGTGAAAGATTGTGAATAAAGAAACAAAAAATTTAATCAATCCATTTAAAACAGCCACAACAACAACAACGGCAGTGGCGACTACAGCGACGACACCAGCCACATCTTCTTTAACGACAGCAACCACATCAACAACTTTAATAACAATAACATCAAATACAGGCATTTGTAACATTTGTATCTACTATCTTGAGGCTACTCTTATAGCTTCCTTCATTCAATTGAAAATTTTCATTATTATTATTTATTTATTATTCTAATTATAATTGTTATTATTTTAGTTTTATTATTTTATAAATTAATTTATTATTTAAAATATTTTTTATCAAATTAAGAATAATTTTTTTCCAAATGCCACCTACACCAGATACGAATGCGACTACGGTGATGGTCAGTGTTAAACCGAGTTCGCCAACAAATAGCGGAGGTTGGTCATTTTTATAAAATTATAAGAGTATATTTCTAAAGATATAACCAACATATTGTTATAACCGCCGGAATAATCAAATTGCGCTATATTATCTGTTATCTTTGCTATGTTTGTAATCTTTGGATTGAAAACTGCAGAGCATGATTTATGTGATAACGCTATTTTAAATGGATTAATTAAATCGTGAAAAAGATATCGAATCGATGCTAAAACGGAATACATTAGAATATGAATAAGCCAGGTTTACAAGTAAGGTTTCTAGCGGAGAAAGCAAAGTCGTAAATGTGATTTATAAAGTTACTTGGATTAGTTTATTATTTCTATTACTGTTGGTATAAAAATAAAAGTTCAGCAAAGTTTGCGTTTGAAGCAGTTGTGTTCATTTTTGGAAATCCTGAACCTACTGAATAACGAACTTTTGACAATCGTTGGAAGCTACAACACTGGTGTTTGAAATATAGAGATCATTGAAGTTATAACATCGGTGTTGGTAGTTACGAGAGTCAAGCGAGATAGTCTGGTTCTACTGTTGTAGTGACCTCTTAGAATTAACAAAGAGAGAATAAACAATAATTATAGAATTATTTTTCAATCCATTCACTTTGGGACGCGTTAAAATTAACCTTATTGAAATCTGTAAGAAACTTTATTTTTACACAGTAACGGTTGTGGTGGTGTTCAGTGTGGCCATGTTCTTCGCGGCATCTGCCACTGTCGCTGTCCTTGTAATCTGGTAGTAGAATTCTGTAAAAACATTTTGTGGTGTGATGTTTTTGTATTAGGATAGGCGTAGATACAAAGATGTAAATTTTATTTTGACTGATTTGGCGGCTCGATGGTGTAAGGGTTAAGGTGCCTGACACTGGCGTTACAGTGACTGGGTTTGACTGCAAAGTCATCCCCACCTATCACGTACATTTATGATTAAGTTTAATTTGCAATTAATTAATTCAATCAATCAATTTAATTGATTTAGTTTTTAATAAAGTTTATATTTTAAAAATACTTTCAGCATCAAGCGAATCAACAATCCGAATGTCAACCAAACGACCAATAATTAATAATTGAAAATAAAATAATAATTATAATTATCATATAAAAAATGTGTGAATTAATAAACCTAATTGAAGAAAATATAGACAAATTTCAGTTCAAATTTGTAAATTTTATTTTTGACAGTAGCAAAATTTTGGTCTTGAGGGACTTCAGTCCCAAAGCTCTGTCCCTGACTTACCCCCTCTGGTTACTACCAAACTGTATTTCTCCCTTCTATAATGATTAATTTATTTTGTTTAAGCGCTAAATATATAATGATACATTATCTCAAAACAACAACAACAACAACAATAATAAAATGTAAACAAATATCTCAAATAAATATATCCCAAATTAACATTAATAATAATAATAATAATATAAAAACAAAAGCGATAATAGTTATGGTGTTTGAAGTTCTTATAAATATTTGGAATAAAATTTAAGAAAAATAAAATAAAATAATCTTGTTCGATATAGATGGGTATGAATTTCATTGCAAATGTAGCCTTGTGAAATCAAATTTTAATTTAAATTTAAAAAAAAAATGATCAAACGTAAATTTATCAAAAATAATAATTAAACAATAATGAAATTATTAATTTTTGTATGGATTGTAATTATTTCTCGATACATCGGTCGAGTAGTATCGATTAACTGTTACCGACATCACGGTCGATTCGAATACCCGATATGTAGACACTCCAAGTACTGCTTTACCGTCATAGAACCGCATAGTTAGTTTCACCTAATGGCATGATGATGTAATGGTTATGGCGCCTGGTCCCGATATTGCAGTGACAGGCTTCGAATGCAAGTTGAGCCCAAATTTTCACATGCAATGTAATACGTTGATTAGCATGTGTTTTAACATAGACTGTGCACTTGTTGTTGAAACCTCTAGAAAATACTAACATAAGTTTTATATGAAAACTAAACTACAAAAAAAAATATAAAAATTGAAGTGAAATTTCAATTTCACCCACCACCCGTGAAGAAGATAAGACGGAATACACAAGGGAATGTAGCAGGTATATGCATGAGTCCGGCGTCAATTGCAAAGTGGTCTTCTGCAGGATCTGTTACGATGACTTCTGCAACATTCCTCTGCCTAACTCTTACCACTATTTGCCAAGTAGAAGAAAGCCAAAAAATATTTTTCATCTCTTCCGGTTTTATGACGCTTCTGGTTATGGAAAACCGGTTTCGCCGTGGTTTATTTGTGGTATTTTAACAACTTTTTCATTTGCTGGTAATTATTTTTATATTGTTAATTATTAAAATGATTTTTTTAATACTTTCAACAAATACATTTTTTTAAAGTTTTAATAAATAAATAAATAAATACTTTTTTTCTTTCTTTAAGAATTGTTATAATAATTTGACAAATAATTAAATTAAATGAGCAAATAAATAGCAAACAAACAAAAGTTACAAATTGTTTGAGGTATACACTGTGAATAAATCATAGATGTGTTTTCTAAAAAAAAAAATCAATAATCTCTTGTCACCTTGCAGATGTTTAACGGAAGTGACAAAGAACAACCCCGCTGGTTATTTATGATATATATATATATATACATGTGTGTGTCTCTGTGTGTGTGTATGTCTGTGTGTATGTCCGTGTGTGTGTATGTGTGTATGTCTGTGTGTGATGGTATGTGTAGCTCTGGTTATTTATAATATAGACAAGTTTGTGTGTGTGTGTGTACAAATTTCAAATTTCACACATCAACAAAGAAACTCTTATCACCAAAGAATGTTTTAGTTTTTGGCGTAATAACATTCCATCAGTGAACGACCCAAGTAACTACTGATATGTCTCTTAGGTCTCTTAGATTGTCTTTTAGACTACCTATATGCTGTCTTTTAGGTTTTTTATGTTGTCTTTACGCTCTTTCTTAGGTCTTTTAAGTTGTTTTTTAGACCACATATATGCTGTCTCTTAGGTCTCTTATTTTGTTTCTTAGACCATCTATATGCTATCTCTTAGGTTGTCTCTTAAACCCCCTATATATTGTCTCTTAGGTCGCTTAGGTTGTCTTTTAGACCACCTACATGTTGCCTCTTGGTTGTCTTATATTGTCTCTTAGACCACCTACATGTTGTTTTTTAGGTTGTGTCAGCAACATTTTATCAGTGGATGACCAAAGAGACCACCTTTTTGTCAGTAAACCGGCGGATCTACAAACGGACTAAAAATAATCAAAACAAATAGGCTACATCGATGAAATTACAAAAAATACATCACTGATTTATCTTGTAATAAATGTTTGTTCATATTACCGCCGAAACAATTATTATGTTTTATGCTCAAACGAACTTTTTAACGTAATATCACTTTTTAAATATACTACTACTACTGAAGCAGCAGCAGCTACTACTACTACTACTACTACTACTACGACTACTACTACTACTACTGCAGCTACTACTACTACTACTACTACTGCTGCCGCTACTACTACTTATAATAAGAAAAAGAAGAAAAATTATAACAACAATAACAACTGCATGCACACATTGACATCAATAAACATAACATAACAGAAATGCACATGTGAAATGTACACATACACACAGTGCTTAGCAAACACAAGATGGTACACACACGCAAGCCGTGTTATAATGATTCATCTACGCAGCCCAACAAAGGCAGGCTTCCGTTGACGAGAAAGCTATCGCGGTCGTTATCGGAAATATAAATACTCAGCTGTCTTACTGAATACTAATTTATTTTTTATCATTTCACTGAATATCTGAGAGGTATGCTATGCTAGCTGTTCTGAGGTGTGTATTGTTCGGCTGCAACTGGCTTATAGAGAAACGTCGGTGTTGATTTTGTTGAATTCGAATCGTCGTCACGAATGATTAAGAAGTTAATTTAGCTGCTCATTATAAATAAGGCGCAATCTCTAAAGGTGACAGAAGACAATTTCAGACAAAAAAAACTCAGCAGTTAAAGTTTTAAATTATTTTAAACTTTTGAACAATAATTTTCTAACAAACTTCACTCCTAAGTAAACTACCAACGAACCTGAAAAAATGTCGACATCAGCAGTAGAGAACACCAAACCAACCAACAGCACCTCTGAATCTCCAGCCAGCTGCGAGGAGGTCAACTACTTCGATTATTTGGATTACGCCGTCGTCAAAGATGCCCCACTGGATTCTCATCTGATGACCATGGACGAGGAGTTCAACAGCTCTTTCGAGAGAAGGATGTCAAAAATCGTCGACACTCCTGAGTTAAAATTCGTCCAAGATGGTGACGAACTCTACAAAGTCATCAAAATATTTCAGAGAGTAGCACAGCAGATGGGTTCTGAGTGGGAGCCTGTTTTTTTAGACTTGGTGAAGAATCATAAGAAAGAGGTGGTAGAAGCCGAGTTGAAACATTTAGAAACGCACAAGCCAATATTGAGAGGCTACAGGGCGCTGATGGTGTGGAAGGAGTTGGCTGGCTCTTTGTTTCACATGGCGAAGCTTGTTGACGCTCTGAAAGTTAACAAGATGGAAGACATTGCCCAAGAAGTTCTTTTCATGCTCTACGGTGTGTCTCCCGTTTATTTTTAATTTTCTCAATACAATTAGTTGTTTCTATCCTTGTTAACAATGATTGCTGCCAATGTAAAAAGTATTTTTCAATTTTCCAAATTTAATGAATCTTTTTCATTTATTTTTCAGATAAAGTGCAACCGCAGCTGAAACAAGTAAACATAAAGCCAAAGCAAAGCTCCATCCGAAGAAAACGAATCGACGTTTCCGAATTAGATAAAGGTATGTTAAATAATTTCTAGGTTTTCTTTTTTTTCCAAACATTTCATGGTAGTTTTGAGAATTATCGTTTAAAATGATTATTATTTCATAAAAATCACTAATATTATTTCCTATTTCAATTTACAGAACCAATCGACAACAAAGTGTTACTTCTAATTGCCAAAAAACTCGCAAGCGAATGGAAGAAACTAGGCGAAGTCCTCGGAACAGACGAAAACGAATTGAAAGAAATTGAGAATCAAGTCGGAGCCCTACACGAAAAATCATTCAAAATTTTGTGGTCCTGGAAGGAAGAAGCCAAAAAATCAAATCCCGAATCATGTATCTCGGACCTCAAAACAGCCTTAACGAAAATGAATCGGAAAGACGTCGTTGATGAATGCTTTGGTGATAAAAAATAAACCGGAAAATTTTTCGTTCTTCAATTTTTAATTTAAACCTTTTTTTATTTAATTTTTTTATTTAAAAATTTTCGAAACAGTCATTAATTAATTTATTTTTTGTAAGTGCTTTCTGAGACGTTGCTACTTAAATCGCGTGCTTTCATGATGTCGCAAACTGGCATATGCAAATATTTTTTACTGACTTAATATTTTTTGGTTTCTAAATTTTTCCTATTAAATTAGTTTTTAGAAATTTTATTCACTAAAAAAACAGAACAAAACTTTGTCGTTAGAAGATGAAATATTTTTGTTGGAAATTTGAAAATTATCATTTTTGTATTACAAAAATTCCACTGCAACTTTCTCAAAAACAAAACTTTAAAATCAAACCAACAAATTATACAAATGACTATTATATCATAATTATAATTCTTAATTGATATATATCCATATACATGATATAAAGATACATATATCCAATTTTACGAAAATTTTTTTATAAAACATCTCGACAACCATTTTTTATGACAGGAATTGTACAGGTAATGTAAATAACTTCACTAAGAAGCTAGACCTATATTCAGTAATAAAATGTATCTACTATTTTATTGGGCTGAAAGTATAAGCAGGTGACTATGAAAGTAAAGGCATGTCAGGTCATACATTAAACATTTGAATTCTGCGATTTTGGTTGTCAAAGTAAGTAAAAGTAACCGTATATGTTGTATGTATTAGTTAGTAAAATACTGTTTAAGTTTTATGTACTCTGAGTGCATTTTTTATAGCCACACCCGGTACAAGCATACTTAAGCATGAATCATATGCGGGACAGAGATGAGTGCATCTTCGAGTTTTCATACATGATCGATAACGTACTTGAAAATTTGTGAAACGTAAACTGCGCTACCACCATCGCGACTATTATCAACTTTAACTCCATGATTCGTCATCTTCTCCATCATCATCATCAGTAGCAGCATCAGCAGCAGCGGTACTGCTCCAACATCTTAAACAGCATCAGCAGCAGCGGTACTGCTCCAACATCTTAAATAAAAAGCAATGAGGAACTATCAAACGACTCTTACCACATGTTTGGAGGTGATCGAACGACAGCTGGCTTATCTTATCAGACTGTATACATTCTCTCTGCAAACATGTATCGACAGATGGAAAACTGAGAGCCAAACCAGCCCACAATGCAGAACGGACTTCAATACCCTCATTAAAAGTTTTGTAAATTTTTGGTAATCTTGCGATTTAACAAAAACCAAAATCTTAATTTATTCCTTAAATATTCAGACAGTTGCTATTCCCAACTCTAGCAAAATCATGTTTCCTTTGAAAGGCAATTTTTTAATTTTTCAAAAATGAAACAAAACGAAAATTTAATATAAAAAACATGTTTCTCCTCACACTACAAATGAAAAATTAATACAATTAAAAAACAATACAATCATAAGATCACAAACAGAAACTAACATTTTTTCATAACAAGCATTATTAACCTCACCCGCCATGACACGATCCTACTGAATGAAATAGTAACAGTACAATACGCTACACTAACTAAATAAGATATGTAATTACATAAACACGCACGGACGTGTGTCTGTACGAACAACACATATCCATATATAAACACACACCGGCGCACGCACACACACATACACACATGCACAGAGCCAACGAGTGAGAAAAATTTTCAAAAAATTATCATCTAAAAACTGTTTAAGTCATATAAAATTATAAATTCCAAAATATATATATATATGTATATATATATATATATATATATATATATATATATATATATACATATATATATACACACACACAGATACAAACAAACACACACGCACACAAATGCACACATACATATATATATACATATGAATACATACATAAAAATTTAAATACTACATATATTTATATAATAAACCGCTAAAATATAATAATAGGGCGAAATAATGAAAAAAAAAAACAGAGAGACAGACAGACATACAAACAGACGGAACTAAAAAAATCGATGAAAAAAATTATTACTACTCCTCTTCAAAAATCGTAATTTTTTTTAAATTAAAACACATGGAATCAATGAGGATGTTATACGTCAGACTTGGTAACAAGAAATAATAACAACAACAACAACAATAACTAAGTTACTACAACAAAATATCAAATTATTACAGACAGACAGACAGACAGAAAGACTAATACACAGAAATGAAAGTAATTATTAAGTAACTTGATAACGAAACTTAAACGAATAAAAAAAAAATCAACGAAATAATAAACAAAACAATTATTATTATTATCATCATAATTATATATTCATTATTGTTATTTCATTTTTCATTTAAATAAAAATTTTCGTAAAAAATTAAAAAAAAAAAATTAGACAGCATTAGAGGGCGAAGTGTTGATGTGTTGCTCGCGCTTGTTCAGCATGTCAGTGACGGTGATGACCTTTTTAGCGTACGGCTACAAAAAAGATAATTTTAACTTTTAAGAATTAATTATAACTATTATCATTATTATTATTATAATAATAATTATTATTATTATAACTATTATTATAACTATTATTATTATTATTATTATTATTATTATTATTATTATTATTATTATTGTTATTAATATTCTCGCCTCCCAGTTGAATGGATTAAAATGAGTGAAAGAACAAAAAAATTAGTAAATGAATAAACAAACGAATGAATGAATGAAGGAATGAAGGATGGAACAAATAGAAACAACAACAACAATAATAATAATAACAACAACAAAATTAGGTACTTGTGTAGTGGTTAGTTCGTTGAACTGTTCCTTGTGCATGTTGCATATCTGATGGATGGTTGCGAGACAACGAGCTGTGTCTATAGACGTAGGCGGATGGCTGCTAGACCCTCTAGGCATGCTCTGAGTCGGGTGGGGTACACGAATGAATGAATGAATGAATGAATGAATGAATGAATGAATGAATGAATGAATGAATGAATGAAAAGTGAATCAGTGAATAATAAATGAATGAATGAAGAGTGAATCAGTGAATAATGAATGGGTGAATGAATGAGAGTAAGAGTGGACGAATGAATGAATGAGGAAATAATAAAAGAGTGTAGGAATGAATAATTGAGTGAATGAATACATGAATGAATATCTTACGGAAACTTCATCTAAGAACAAGATGATTCTCCGTCTGTTATCGGGTCCAAAGTTGTTCGTGTGATCATTCGTGCTATCCTGATGAAGATAATTAAATGAATAACAACAACAAAATAACCAAACGAACAATAAAAATGAATGAATGAACGAACGAATGAATCAATGAAAAAATGAATCAATGAGTCAACCAAAAATCTAACCCGATTATTATCCGATAGATTAGCCAACCTGATGAGGCTTTGTGCCAATTGAACCAATACTCTGTTCGAAGTTGCTGATGGAGACTCTGAATGTGTATGTGTGTGTTTGTGTGCGTGTGTGTGTGTGTGGATGTGTGTGGTTGGCCCCACCGACCAGAGAAACGGAATTTTCTAGAAACAAACCAACTCAAAAAAGCTTGAAATCACACCAGCGACTCAAACTTTGAACTTTAAACTCCGCGAAACACTTCAACATTCGACATCGTCATTAGACAGTCTCGATACATTTTGTATATGAGAAAATGATGTTAATAACTGTCGAAACCAGTATAAATTAACAAGCCGGATGGGTGAAATGTTACGGCTTTGACTCTTGATTTAACTTTCTATTGGTTATGTTTTTGGTATAACTAACGAAAAAAAGGAATTTGAAGAATGTTTTGCTTTAATGGCTAATTCATTTTACGCATGTATTTATATAAATTTATGGAAATATTAGTTAACAATCTTATCGTTCATTCATCCAATCAATTCATCACTCACTCACTCACTCACTCACTCACTCACTCACTCACTCACTCATTAAACGAACCGGTGATGAGATTGTAGTGTCTTGGCCTGGTTAGAGCCACGCATACGAGTCTCAGGAAAAAGAATGCGCTTGAATTTTAATTAATTAATTGAAGAAATCTTACAACAAATGAATATTCATTTCATAAACACACACACGCACGCACACACGCACGCATGCAAGCACACGCACACACATGCGAAACCAACCTAATAGCCTTCCTCTTAACATTCACATCGTTGGGCCACTTCTGAGATAGCTTGATCATTAAGTGATGGCAAATATCTTTCAATGTACTAATTAGTAAGTGTGGGGAATTAGTGGATAGAAAGATGGAAAAAAGTAAATGAATGAAAGAATCAGGAAATGAATGAACAAATGAATGAATGAATGAAAGAATGAATGAATGGTTATTTAATGACGAAAAACGATCAGACCATTGAAGTTGGGAAAATTAAATAAGCGTAATTATTAATTAAACAATAAATTAATAAAAAAAATGAATAAACGAAAGAGAAAACAAATCAAAGAGTGAATGAATGAATGAAGAAAATGAGCAAACATTTAGAAACACAAGAACATACAAAGGTACGTAGACAGACGAAGCCACAATGCTATCAACCAATTCACTCAGCAATGCGTTTATCTCCTTCTCCTGCTCAAGTCCAGTTTGATTACACTGCTATATAACAATTATAATTATTATTATTATATATATTATTATTATTTATATATATTATTATTATTTGTATTATAATTATAAGGAAAATTAGTGGAAAGTCGGATGAAAGTAAAATATATTGGATGAATGAATGTTTATGTAGTGGATGTGTGCGTGTGCGTGCATGTGTGTGTGTATGTGTGTGAGAGAAAGAGAGAGGAGAGAGAGAGAGAGAGAGAGAGAGAGAGAGAGAGAGAGAGGAGAGAGAGAGGGAGAAATTTATTTATTTCTAATGCATTTACCTCAGTCGTGTATTTATTGCCCATGACTTTGTTTACAATACCTAGTGGTTTAAATAAATATATAAATAATAAAATAATTAACATTATTATAAATATTTTGAAATAATTATGCTCTAAAATTGAAGGATAACATCGAATATGGATCAAAGATAAAGGGGTAATGAAGATCAAATGAATGGCGATAAAAATGGCCGCATATTAAAAAATCGCTCGCTACATAAATAATAAAAATCATTAACAAAAAAAACGCCCAAAAAACATAAATAAGAAAAACAAACGACACCAAAAAAAACTACAACATATACTCTCTCACACAGCTCTGGTAAAAAAAAGCAAAGCTGCTTCTCACAGTCTCAAACTGAACTTTCGTCTCGTGCAGCACATGGCTGTATGTAACACGCACACAACAAAGCGCACACACACACACACACACACGCACGCACGCACAAACACCAGGTCTATGATAGCTCTTCAGTTTTGTTCGTTTAATCATTTTATCACAATCCCAATTTACACACAATCCTGTGAAGATATTTAAACAGACAGTGCAATAATTGCATTAGTATTCCTGATATTTCAAGATATAGAATTTAATGGTACTTTTAGAGTTGAATGGATAGCGAGTGAGTTGTGGTGCAACATAACTGTCGCCTGTGTATATCTATAAGTATGGAATAACAGGTAAGAAGATCAGCGTTTAGCAGAGTTGCAATGTGAAGATTAAAAAAAATACATATGTACGTATTTGCATAACTGCGTGTAACACGAGACATGTATGTAGAACACGATGTCGAATGAATTACTTGTTGAGGTTAGTTCAATTCTTACAAATTTTAACCAGTAAATGTATGACAAGCCGAAGGAACCCTGATGCGAGAAACTGAGTTTGAAGCATGCAGGAGTGCAATAACGAGGAGAGAAACAGCTCACCTGACATGAGCCGGCACGCCAACTCAACTTAAATGAGACTCTTACACCTCTAACAGCCGCAAACAGCAAAAACTAACAAAAAACCAACTAAAAACCAACAAAACAAACTACAAACAACAACACAAACGACAAACAAACAACCTGACGTAGCATTCTTAAGGAAGTCAGACCCGACGGCATTCATATACTTGCTCATGAGGCTCGTACCAAATGAATCCCTCCTGAACAAAGTCTCCTTTGTTTCTTCACGTTGAAATTATGTTTCATAAAAAATATTACGACAAAGTATAATTAATTAATTATAAGATAAAAAATTTGACATTAAAAGGAGGAGGATTTAGCTAGATATCAAAATTTAACGACCAACTAAGTAATAGCACACTTACAAATCAATCAATGAATCACACAGTACATTAAGAAGCAGTGCACACAACACTCACACAGCATAAAACAGTAGACACCATCACAACACACACCTCAAGACAGTACACACATTACAGTACACACACACGAACACACACAAACACGAACACACAAACCACCTCACACACACACACACACACACACACACACACACACACACACACACACACACACACACACACACACATACACACACACAAACACACACATAAACAGACACACACAAACACGAACACACACATAAACACACACGAACACATACACATAAACCACCTCACACACAAACACAAACACACACATAAACAGACAAACACAAACACGAACACACACATAAACAGACAAAGACACACACACACACAAACCAGCAGCATCAACATCGATTTCTAGGAACTTCCGAATGAGTAGGGTCTCTTTGTTCTCGTGTCTAAACAGCTGGAGAAGTGAAGTGGCAAGAAGTTGTCTGTCTTGGTTCTTACTGTCGCAAACGTTCACTAGAGACTGAACAAACTCTAAGTCGTCTAGTAGTAACATCTGTGTGCGTGTGTGTGTGTTGGTGTGCATGTGTATGTATGTATGTGCGTATGTGTGTGTGTTGGTGTGTGAGTGTGTGTATTGGTGTGTGAGTGTGTTGTGTGAATTTAAATATTGTGTCTGTGTTACTGTATATTTAGGTTGTGTGTGTGCGTATGTGTGTGTCGGTGTCTGTGTATGCGTGTGTGTTGGAGTATGTGTGTTTGCATTTGTTAGAATCGTGTGTGATCGTCAACATCATCATCATCATCTCAAACAACATCATCATCATCATCTCAAACAACATCATCCTCATCATCATCATATACATCATCATAGACATCATCATTGTCTCAATCACCATCATCATCTTAATCACCATCATCATACTCATCATCATCGTGTCAATCACCACCACCACCACCATCACCATCATCGTCATCACTATCATCATCATAACCTCACCCCTTTCAGAGTGCTGTACTCAGACAGCGGCATGATGATTTCGTAGTTGTAGTGCATGCTGAGTCGGATGGAGCATTTCTCCGGCGTCCTATTCATTCATTCATTTGTTCGTTCATTCATTCATTCATTCATACATTCATTTTATATTTTAAGTGAATGAGTAAATGAATAAATAAATGAGTGAATGAATGAGTGACTTAATGAATGAATGAATGAGTGAAGGAATGGTTGAATGAATAAATGAATGAATGATTGAATGAATGAATAAATGAATGAGTGATTGAGCGAGTAAATGAACGAATGAATACCTCAGAGGAGCATTGGTGAACCTCATGTTGTACCACCTGTCTTCAGTATATGCCTCCAAGTCATTTAAGTCGAATCTTATAGAAGCTGAATGAATGAATGAATGAATGAATGAGAAAATGAACAGAAGAATGAAAAAATAAATAAACAGAAAATGAATAGATAAAATGACCCAGCGAGCAATTGACTAAATTAATGAATGACAAGCTCGACAACGAATGAATGAGTGAATGAATGAATCGCCAAATGAGTGAATGAAAAAGTGAAGGAATGAATGAGCGAGTGAGTGAGTAAGAAATAAATAAACGAATGAGAGACCAAATGAGTGAATGAATAAATAATCGACAGAAACACCAGCCTATGTCTTTGTCCTTGGACATTTTTTCCTTATTGAAGACTGTGATGATGAAGTGGTCTATGTCGGGCGGGATGTCGCTGAATTCATGATGTCAACGTTATCTGTTGTCACTACTTTGGGACCGTGACGACGACAACAAACAACAACAACAACAACGAAACAAACAAACACATAAACGAACAAACTAACAAACAAACAACAACAAACAAACAAACAACAATGAAACAAACAAACAACAATGAAACAAACAAACAAACAACAAACAAACGAACGACCACAACAACAAACTCAATAAGGAAGGCTTCGTCCCAGCACTTCTCCAGCTTATCGTCACTGCAGACCTGTGTTCTACACGTCTTCACTTCATTCAGGGACACAACACAATACGCATGCGTAACCAGTTTAGCATTCGAACAGTTCAGACTGAATATTTTTATATTTAAACTTCTCAAATGGGTCAAACACGACGACGACGATGACGTCATAGCTGCTGCTGCTGTCGCTGATGACGTAGGAGGTGACGACGACGATGGCGATAAAGTTGATGACGATAGCGCTAAAGATGGCGATAAGTTGACCACTGCAGCTGTTGCAGCCGTCGCCGATGATGATAATGATCGTCCACATGGTGAGTGACTTTGAGGTGATGATAATGATGGTGGTGGTACTGATGATGATGATGATAATGGCTGTTGTTGTTGTTGTTGTGGTGGTGTCAATGATGACGATGATTGTTGCAGTTGGTGATGATTGTGATGTTGAAGGTGGTGATGATGATAGTGGGGGAGGGGGGGGTTCGGTCGGTTTGGCTGCGTGTTTATGCAATACTCCTTCAACTTCCTGATCCACTCCTGAGGGGAAAGTAAAAGTTGAATGAGGGAATGGATGAATGACTGGATGAATGACTGGATGAACGAATGAATGAATAAATGAATGAATAAATGAATGAAAAAATGAATAAATGAATGAATGAATGAATGAATGAATGAATGAATGAATGGATAAATGACTTGATTAATGAATGATTGGATGATGAATGAATGATTAGACAACTAAGATACTACAAAAAAAATAAAAATTTAATTAACAGCAAGGACCTGAGCCTGGTCTGAGGTGTCAGAACACAGATAGCACAGTGATTCAGGATTCATGTCTTTAGAAACCAGCTGAAACACATTTGGTCTGAGGAGAAAAATTTTTTTAGATTTGATGTCCATTTATCTTAAACATTTTACCAATGCATTAATTCATTGATTCTATCATTCATTTAATTATTTATAATACGTTCATTCATTCATTCATTCATTCATTCATTCATTCATTCATTCATTCATTCATTCATTCATTCATTTATGCATTCATTCACCCATTCATTTAACCTACACCTATTCCTTTAGAATGTATGTGTAGGTTTGTTGTAAATCTGTAAGCATATAAGCTGGAGACATATAAGTGTGCATACACATTACAACATCAACAACAACAACAACAACAAAACAGCATTAACAACGTCAACAACAACAGCATTAACAGCATCAACAACAACATCAATAACATCGAATAGAGAACACCATCAACAACGCCATCAACAACAACAACATTAACAACAACACCACCACCAACAACATCAACAACAACACCACCACCAACAACATCAACAAACAACGCCATCAACAACATCAACAAACAACGCCATCAACAACATCAACAAACAACGCCAACAACAACAACAACAACATCACCAGCACCTTCCAAAGAGGCTATCGTGAACGGGGTAGAGGTAGGAGTGTGATAACTCAATAAGGCTGTTGGGTTTTGAGCGCTGGTAGAAATTTTTTTTTCAACAAATTTATAATAAAAAAATATTAAAGAAACTAATACAAACAACTAATAAGTGAACCATAAATAATAATAATAATATATCTCTCTCTATCTTCGTTTAGCGTCCAGAGACCCCGTTCCCCGAGGTAGGACGTTGTTTTCTTTGCCATCAATTTTTTGCGCCAAATAAACGATCAGATGATAATAAATAATAATAATAATTATTATAATTACTATCAATAGTATTATTTTTAGTAGTAGCAGCGCCAGTAGTAGCAGCGCCAGTAGTATCAATACTGGCAGTAGTAGTAGTAGTAGTAGCAGCAGAAGCAACAGCAGTAGTGGTGGCAATAACCTTTTCGTTGTCGAAGTAGAAGAGTTGTTGTTCAGTTCCATTCAGTACAAAGTACATCTTCTTCCATTTCTTTGTTTTGGAGCCTATGATGAAAAATAAATTATGATAATGGTGATGAAGATGACGACAACGACGACGATGATGATGGTAATATTAAAAAACAAAGATGATGATCATGATTAAGACCAATCAACTAATCAATTAACAACCAACCAACCAGCCAATGAACCGAACGACCAACAAATCAACCAATCAACTAACCAACTAATCAAACAACCAGCCAGCCAGCCAGCCAACCAACCAACCAAACACCCAAACAATCAACCAACTAACTTTCTGTGCAGATGACCACTCATAATGA